TTTTTAAAATTATTAGTTAATATTTTAAATGGTGTTTTTGCATTATAAATATAATTTATTATAAAAAGAACTAAAATCAATTTTCATATATATTTATTTATATAAAATTAGTTTAATAGATATATAATATATATGTTTTAAATATATTTAATACGTCCGGATCCGGATCCAGATATTTGGACCTTAAAATTTTGCTATCCGGATCCGGATCATCTTTTCACGGATCCTAGATTTTATTATCTTTATCCTGATCCGGACTCTCCGGATATCCTAATTTTCAGAGTGATTTTGAACGGATAACAAATCGAATCTCGGATAATAATTCCACCCCTCCCACTGTCTGCTATTACAAAAGTATTTTGAGTAAAGTTAAAGAAAGAAATGAGCGGCAGATATTGATCACTTGGGAAAGACAAAGATCCATGATGTTTCATATTGATTCCAAGATTCTGTCTGCATTTCCAAGGTCTTCATCGTTTAAAAGAGAACAGTCTTCAATTTTTATAAAGAAACAAATCTTAAGAAAGTACATAGAAGCAACAAAAGTTTGACCGAAAATATTTGAGAAAATCGAAAAAAATGTGCACATTTACAAAAATACCATTTAGGTGTGTTCATTTACAAAAAAGCTAGTAATTATAGATTTTTAAATCCTATATCTTAAAATTCTAAGTACTAAAAAATATTTTGACCCCTAAACCCCCCCATAAACCCTCATAACTAAACCTTAAAGAACATAGTTAACCTAAACATAAATAATATAAAAAATAATAATTTTTAAAAAATGGTATTTTTGTAAATATTTTAAAAATGTGGCATTTTGTAAAATAGCACTTGAAAATTGGTATTTTTTGAAATTTCTCAAAAAAATTTAAACTTTTATTTTAAAAGAATTACATCTAATAGTTTCATTTTGTTTTCGTTTTTCAGTTCACTGAGAAAATGAAAATTAAACTTATAAGAAAAAAATTGTTCTAACACATAGTATCATTTATATATATAACCGACTCAAAAATTAATGATTTAACATCATTTATTAATTATTATAAATGACACTAAAGTTTATTTTTAATTTTGAATCACTTTTGTAAATGATTTTAAATAAATGATGCAAGATACTAATTTTTTAGTAGTGAAATCACCTAACCACATAAATAGTTAAGTTTGATCCAATTTTATACCACCACATATTAGTCTAATTTTTGGTCTCTTAGAATGATTATTTAAACTCGATTCTACAAAAACGAACGACTGAATCAATAAAATTATTTTTCACTTATCTGATTTGCCATCCACTCAAATAATCCAATTTTTCCTTCAAAAATTCTGGAATAAATTCACATAAAAAATTCTTATCTTTAAAATTATAACCTTATATATTATTATATTTGTCTCTTACATTCTCTCGTAAGATATATTTTATATTATCTTGTTCTTTTTTTAAACATATATTTTGAATTATCTTTAATACATATATATATATATATATATGTATATATGTATACGAATAATTTGATGTAGCAAGTTAACTATAAAAATTGGCGACA